AACCTGATTATACATTCCTTTTTATAAGAACCAGTAGATTTAAGTTCAGGCTGACTGTTCTCAATTTTTACGAAAATCTGAGGCTGAATGGTTCTTAATTAGTTGTGTTCTTAAATTAATAGAATGTAAGCAGAGCGATTGCTAGCTTCGCTCTAAGGAGCTCTTTAGGCCTCATTTGCCAAGAAAGTGAGTGAGACAACCTTCATTTGCCGACAAGTTTGAATATTCACCGAAAAAGCACACCAACATGGCTAAAAATCCTTGTTTTTGAAATAAAACGTTGTTCAAAATTGCATCTTACAGTAGTTCAGCCTCAGCTTGTTCTTAATTTGTTCTTAACTTCTGACCATTTTTGAGGCCCGTGTTCTTATAGAATTGTTCTTATAAAAAAAGAGTGTACTTCGACACAACTGTAACGCAGCATTCCAACAACTAAAATCGCAATTCAACTCAATCTAAAAAAGTAAAAGGTTATATGCATACGAGATCTTTATAATAAGTCTATTATGATAAGGGCCATCTCAATAATAGTAAATAAGTACACTATTACATCACCCCCTCTTTTTAAAAGAGTAAACATATATGTAAACAAATTAGATAAATGTCAATCAAAGAAAATGATTCAAATGCTCAAACTAAAAGCCGGTGGAACAGAACTGAGAGTTACTAGCAGTGTTCAATTTGCGAATCGCCGATGTTCGATTCGGTTTGAGGCGAGACTAACGAAATACACTGTGATGTCAAAATTGCGTCACAGTGTCACCAAACCGAAAAATTGTTGTCGGTTAATTCAATTCAAATATCGAAATGCAAGAGCTTATATCTCACAAACTGTTAAAAATATCGAGAAACAAATAACGAATTCGTGATCAGCAGGTTCAACTCCTTTAGATCAGCCCATAAAATGCAAGTGCAAAATTTGGCCGGAGAGGCCCTTTAATGTTCACCTTACCAGCTGCGAAGTAATGGGGTGACCAAACCTTACTGGTGGACGTCGTTGTCTTCTTGGCTGGTCTTGTCCAGGCATCGCAGAGCGTTGAGAAAAGTGGGGGGGGGGAGGGGTTCTAAAAAAAGTGCGGGGACTAAAACTGACTAAAAAGAGGCTTTACTGGTGGTTGACTTCGTTATATATTTTTATTTTTCACAAAAAGTGGGGCGCCCAGCTCCCCTGCTCCGCGGTACCTGTTGTCGGGCTTCATTTTCCTGGTCTTGCTCTTTCCTTTGGCTATCATTATTTACTGTTCTTGACCTGTATTCTTCATTGTCTGAATCTGTACTTTTTTCATCTGTAGAATTTTTTCATACTTTACCATTTTCTGCAACTACACGATTGTATTTTCTGCTGATAACAACATATGGAGTCTCATTAAACCGTGTAGACAGCTTGCTTTTCGTTGTTGTTTGACAATTACTGTATGGCCAACTATAATCGTGCTTTTTGTAGCATTTCTTCTATTGTCTGCACATTGTTTATGATTTGATTGACTCTTTTCTTCAATTTCCCTGGCTTCTTTGTGTCTGTCTATCACCAATTTGTTGTCAATAATGGGAAGTTGTCTTTGTAAACAATGACTCGATTAAACAATTCTCAATTATTGTTTCCGATTAAACAATAACTCGCATGGCGCAACCTTTGTGACAGTGTGTGTAGTGGTGCGGTACTGCAGCGAGAATCGATTAGCTCTTGCCTCTGCTCCCTTCCACAACCTGGGGCTTTAGCCCTCCAATAATTTCCAAAATGTATCGTACCAAATCATACCAAAAGTCGCCTTGGTTTGTAGCACGTTCACCCCCCCCAATTATTCAGCCCCCTCAATCTGTGATATTCTCCGCGGTCCTTGGGCCAGCATGGTGTATCAGGACTGTGTACAATTCCCGATGCTTTAATGCATGGTGAATTCGCAACTGCTAAACGGTGGACCATTGTCCGATTTTAATATTTGTGGAGAGAATATCTTGTCAAGCTTTGGAATCACCGCGGATGCTTTTGTTGAACGGATAACCTCTATTTCAGGACAATCTCTATTCCAGGATACCGCGACTAAAGCCGAAAACCCACGCTGGAAAATGATCTGCGGTGCGGATCGGATCAGATTTTGTGTTGCGCAAGCGCTTTGAATGCAAAAATGGTCACATGACTGATCCGCGACGGATCAAAACGGATCGAAAAAAAGTTGAAATCATTTTCGAAATCAAAATCGAATTAGAACTTTTTGAACAAAAGAGCACTTGCGTCATGAGGCAAGATCCCGTGGAGATAATGTCAACGTGCATTCCAATTTGAAACGATCCGCGGGTCGAAAGAACAACACGATCTGATCCCATCCGCGGATCATTTTCCGGAGTGGGTTTTCGGCTTAACGATCTATTACTACAAGTAGATAATCTGTGTTCCATGGTTTCCTGGCATAGCAGACGGTTTGAATAAGTTCTGGCGGAAATGAAAGCAAATCTAAGGTATTTTTTGCAAAAATGCAAAGTATTAAGAAACGAACAACCAGTAAAACCTCTTTTCATGGTTTTGGCCCACCCTACTCTTTTAGAAACCATTTTTCTCTACGCTCCGTGGTGCCTGAAATTTATAAGTATTATACCTCGTTCAAAACGGCAGAGTGTAAATAGTCCATTACTAAGAGAACAAACCCAGATATAATAAATAAGTATCACACGAAATGACCAAGTCCGTGTCATTTACGAAAACGACACAGAGAAGTACGAAAAGAAATACGAAAATGACACAGAAGCTGCGAAGGCGCTAGATGTCTTGTGCGCTGCGCAGTAAGGCCAAGTCTGTTTTGGCGGCCATTTTAAATGGCTCCTATAAGTATTGATGTGAGGTTCTGTTTCAGAATTAGAAACAAGTATGGATTCCATGGCAGCTGCACTCCAGAGAAATTTGTGCAATTTAGCAGTCTAGCAAATTACGAATGCACTCTAGCACACCACAGTCACAAAGTGCACTTTTACATGCAGTCCTGAGATCTCGTCGAAAGCTGACATGAAATCTAGACCAGATGAGAATAATTCTGTAATTTCTTATTCTGCGAGCCGTCATTCTCCATTCAATTTTCAAGTTCCGTTCATTTATCAATCAATCCTAAATACAATTCTACATAATTATATACTGTACAACTACTAATTAAACAAGAAAAACCAAACAATAATAAAGAGAAAACACTACTACGAAAGCAGAAATAAATTACATGATTGTTGGGCTCCCCACTAGAGCAAGAAATTTTAAAAAGCAACAACAACGATAAACCAGATATGCATTAGAAATGATGGCAGGTATAAGTAAGTTCCAACTTATAGGAATTATGAATAGGAATTTTGATGGATGTGGTTATTGGTGACAAGGTATGCCTTCAGTTCTGATCAAAACTGAAACGGAGCTAGCAACACGAATGAATAATAGAAGAGTATCCCAAAGCTTGGAGCCAAAGTACTGAATTGTTTGAAAACCATATGCAGAGGTATTTTTGATAGATTTGAAAAGACCACCTCTAGCTGTTTGATGAGTTACAATCCTGTGTGAACGGGTGAGTTTTGGTGTGAAGTAATTGTGAAGGCAAGTGGGAGATAAATTATTTAATAAGCCCTCTACTTTCATTATCTTAAATTAAAGGAAGGTAAAACTGATAGAGCTGTCAATGAATGGAAATTTGAGCACCTTAAGATTTGCTTCCCATGCAGGGGCACATATTATATACAATTTTTGGAAGGGATATCAGGACAAATAGGGCCCAGTTTGCATGCAAAATGTACATACTCTTCAAGGCCAATCAAAACAGATAAACAAAATAATAATGTATGAAGAAAATAATTGAGGAAATGACAAGAGACTCCCTCTGGTAAAATGAAGAATTCCTTCTCTTCGGAACTTTTGTGATCATTTGGTCTTTTTGAGTATACAGATTTTGACCTAGCAATCCAATGAGTTTATGACAAATCATCTTCAATGTAGCAGATCACCAAGACTGGATGCATTATGTTGATAATGTTGTTACCTAAGGGTATTGCATAGCCCTGAATATGCAAAAAGCACCAATATCAATTATGGGAAGTGGAGGGTTGGCCCTTGAAAAAATGTGTCTTTCTCTGCCCCCTAGCACTATTTAGGGTTTTGGGGATTTTTCATTTATACTATTTCTAAGTTTTAAATAGGATTTCATATTGTAAGTATAGTGAGACCTGTAATAACAGTCACATCTGTGCAATGGTCACACCTTCTTAAAAATCTCTGCGCAGCAGCCACCTCCAAATAATGGCCAAATGGCCATTTGGAAGTGCCCCAATACCTCATTTTACCTAAATTTGTTTCTATTTAGAAAGTATGCCTATTTTTAAGAATGATTTGTTTTTCAATTTTCTGTCAAGGTTTATCAACTTTCAAATTTAGCTCGTTGATAGTTTTTTTCAGCCACTTTATAGCCTTTTCATGTTACCTTGCTGAATAAATGACAGGTAATCTAAGTCCTAATCCACCCCATGATCTATTTGCGTTCAGTGACAGTGATATCATAGATCATGACATTTAAATATACAGAAAACAAGTGTATAAATTTTTATCACCCCTCCTCCCCTTTTCCGACTAGCTGGTTGGTCACCTTTCTTGTCATTTTAGTCACCATGAGTATTCAATAGTTTTTGGGCAAGTTTTTGGGGTGGCGAGTTCAATGATCTTTTTTGGTATTGTTTTGTCTCATATTACACACATTTGTACTATTTGCATTTCTTTTTAGATATTTTTATCATTTAGGAGTTTGCCATCATTATTAAAATGTTTGCTAGATTATACTGTTTAAAGAGATCCATACATGTCTTTGTAACCAATAATATAATGAATAATTATAGAATACTTTGATGTGTTACCTGCAAAAACTCGTAAACATTTTTAGTTTAAAATATAGTCAACAAACAGCTTGGTCTGCTATTAGAGTTATAATTTTTTGAACATGTGACTTGAAACAATTTTAATCAATTGCATAATTACTTTTCAGCCCAAAATTGTACAGAAGAGTGTCATTCCAGTGCATATTGTAACAATGGAACTTGTGAATGCAATTTAGGATTTTCAGGAAACGGGACAATCTGCTCAGGTCACTATACCTTTATTGCTAATATCAAAATTTTCTTTTAAATTAAAATTTTTTTATTGCTTTCCAGACAATATATTTACATATTTCATACAGGTTTCCTTTATTGATATTTAGCATTTAAGCATCAGTCTTTGTTTCTGGTGATATTTAACACAATTTGTTTGTACAGTTGTCTCTGCTAACAGTCACTTTCCCTAAAATTACACTACTGGTTATATCTCATGGTCACAGATTTTTTTCCATTTTTGTATGAGCAGACAACACCACTAGATAGACAAAAATTGAAAATGTCAGTCAAATATCTCATTTGGTTCCTAAAATAAAGCAATTTGAATATGTGAGTTTTTCTGCTGAAATTTCATAAATCCGCCATTTTGATTTTTCTCTATTCTAATATGTTTTCTCATGAAAATATCACATCTAGTCCAAAAATGACCTTAAAAATGAATCTTTGAGTGGGCATGATTAGCGGAAAATTAGAGTTATGAGAAGCCCATGCTGTTAGAGTGTTAATGTGAATGTATATGCAAATTTTGAAGGAAATCTATGACATCAATGTCAAAAAAACTATGACATCTATGACATGCAATTTTTTGGTCCCACTTGACATGGAATGTCCCGGTATTGGATTGACTAATATTTTCTTGGGAAAACTTCATAAGTTTTCAAGCAACATATGTTGTCACTATAACCCAAGTCTACTGTGTTTGTTTCATGGTCTTCATCGATCAGTGATGTGCCTAGACAATATAGCTTGAGGGGGGGGGGGGGCATTCAGAAAAATGTGACCAACTAGTTTTACAGATTCTTTTGAGCTCATAACAATAATTTCAATTTTAAAAATTTTATAAGAATTTTAAAGACTTGCATTTCTAACTATGCCAAATACTGTAAATACTTGCAGTTTCTCCAATTGAAAGTACTTTCTGCTCAAATATATATATTTTCACAAAACATCCAGACCTATCTCAGTGAAACGAATAATTTATCAGTGAAAAAACAATTTCCGCAAAAAAGTAAATTCCCTTGTAGAAAATAATTGTTCTTAGTGTAGTATAGTGCGGTATGTACTATGGTAGTGTGTATAGGACATGTGACGAACATTGCATTCGGAAAACTAAGATGGCTTCTAGCTGCAATCTCGGTCAAAAATAGTTGAGACTTTTCAATGAAAGTTTATATCTTCTCTTTCCTTTGAAAAGTAACTCCCTCCCTCTCCCGTTTTAATGTGGAATGTATGATTTTGAAGGAGAAATGATATACTGTAGGCTACAAACACGCTATAGTAAGATAAAGTCTGAAATGTTCGATTCCCGGCATCTTTGAGATTTCTATTTATTGGCAAATTATAGCTGTTAGCTTGCTATTTATCGCAAGTTATTTGCAATAAAAACATAACTATGACCAACGATGACCAACAAAATAAATGAATCGCAGATTGAAAGCTCGACAAACTTCCTAATTAACGCTGAGCTCCCTGCTTCATCACCAACATTTTTGGAGTTTTTCAGTTTCTGGGAGGACAGAGGACGCCGTGACCTTCCTCAAACGTCCCCCCCCATTGGCATATAAAACCTCTCTTTAACAAAATCATGGAGTTACTTAGTTGTGGCGATGTGTCTTCTGTTACTTCTCGTGTTCGTTTAAATGCATCTAAAGTAGTCCTATCTCTAAAGTTTACATTGTACCTAATTTTCTAGAAACATCATATGATTTCATCTATACTGAATCAAATTTATGTTGCTTTTTAATTGACATGATTTCAAAACCTTAATTGTGTATATTCCTTTTATAGAATTTAAAAAGTTAGTTTCTCAATCAAACTTTCCTTTTTAAATGGATTTAATATTTGTTTTTAGATGTTGACGAATGCTCAACCAATGCGCATTCTTGTCATTCAAATGCGTCTTGTACAAACACAGTTGGCAACTACACTTGTTCATGTAATGATGGTTTTGTAGGAGATGGCACACATTGTACAGGTTTGTATCTACTCTTACAAAATGTCACGTGTGCAATTTAAAAACAAAAATGAGTTATGAACGTCTGTTTAGAAAATCATGGAATTGTTTCGTATTGGCCATGTGTCCTTTGTTAATTTTTGTCTTTTTTCAAATACAAGTAAGTTATTCCTTTATTTCAAGTTGGGATTATACCTTATTTTCTGGAAAAAAATCATGTTCTTTCTATACTTATTCTCCTAAGCAATTTATGCTGGTTTTAAATTGTGATGATATTAAAAACCTAATTTTGTTCATTTTTGTTATAGAGTTCAGAAAAGTTAGTTTCTTAATTACAGTGGCAATTTTTAAGTGTATCTCATATTTGTTCTTAGATGTTGACGAATGCTCAACCAATGCGCATTCTTGTCACTCAAACGCGTCTTGTACAGACACAGTTGGCAACTACACTTGTTCATGTAATGATGGTTTTGTAGGAGATGGCACACATTGTACAGGTTTGTATCTACTCTTACAAAATGTCACGTGTGCAATTTAAAAACAAAAATGAGTTATGAACGTCTGTTTAGAAAATCATGGAATTGTTTCGTATTGGCCATGTGTCCTTTGTTAATTTTTGTCTTTTTTCAAATACAAGTAAGTTATTCCTTTATTTCAAGTTGGGATTATACCTTATTTTCTGGAAAAAAATCATGTTCTTTCTATACTTATTCTCCTATGCAATTTATGCTGGTTTTAAATTGTGATGATATTAAAAACCTAATTTTGTTCATTTTTGTTATAAAGTTCAGAAAAGTTAGTTTCTTAATTACAGTGGCAATTTTTAAGTGTATCTCATATTTGTTCTTAGATGTTGACGAATGCTCAACCAACGCGCATTCTTGTCACTCAAACGCCTCTTGTACAAACACAGTTGGCAACTACACTTGTTCATGTAATGATGGTTTTGTAGGGGATGGCAGATATTGTATAGGTTTGTATCTACCCTTACAAATATCATGGGTGCAATTTAAAAACAAAAATGAGTTATGAACGTCTGTTTAAAAAATTATGGAATTGTTTCGTATTGGCCATGTGTCCTTTGTTAATTTTTGTCTTTTTTCAAATACAAGTAAGTTATTCCTTTATTTCAAGTTGGGATTGTACCTTATTTTCTTGAAAAAAATCATGTTCTTTCTATACTTATTCTCCTAGCCAATTTATGCTGGTTTTAAATTGAGATGATATTAAAAACCTTATTGTGTATATTTTTGTTATAGAGTTCAGAGAATTTAGTTTCTTTAGTACAGTGGCAATTTTTAAGTGTATCTCATATTTGTTCTTAGATGTTGACGAATGCTCAACCAACGCGCATTCTTGTCACTCAAACGCGTCTTGTACAAACACAGTTGGCAACTACACTTGTTCATGTAATAGTGGTTTTGTAGGAGATGGCAGAAATTGTAACGGTTCGTTTCTATTAAAGAAAGTATCGTGTGAACTCTTTCAGAACAAAAAATTGTTATGAAGATCTGTTTAAAAAAATCCTGGGATCGCTTTGTTGTTCCAATGTGTCATTTGGTAATTTTAGTGTTGGTTTTAATGCTTGTAAAGTATTCCTTTATTCAATGTTGATTTTGTACCTTTTTTGTAGAAACATGTTTTGTTCTTTCCTTTATTGATTCTCCTGACGAATACATGTTTTTTTTAATTGACATGATGTTGAAAACTTCTTTTGTTAATTCCTGTTATAGAATTCGTAATTGTGATATCATTTTAAATGTATCTCATATTTGTTCTTAGATATTGACGAATGCTCAACCAATGCGCATTCTTGTCACTCAAACGCGTCTTGTACAGACACAGTTGGCAACTACACTTGTTCATGTAATGATGGTTTTGTAGGGGATGGCAGATATTGTACAGGTTTGTATCTACCCTTACAAATATCATGGGTGCAATTTAAAAACAGAAATGAGTTATGAACGTCTTTTTAAAAAATTATGGAATTGTTTCGTATTGGCCATGTGTCCTTTGTTAATTTTTGTCTTTTTTCAAATACAAGTCAGTTATTCCTTTATTTCAAGTTGAGATTGTACCTTATTTTCTTGAAAAAATTCATGTTCTTTCTATACTTATTCTCCTAGCCAATTTATGCTGGTTTTAAATTGAGATGATATTAAAAACCTTATTGTGTATATTTTTGTTATAGAGTTCATAGAAGTTAGTTTCTTAAGTACAGTGGCAATTTTTAAGTGTATCTCATATTTGTTCTTAGATGTTGACGAATGCTCAACCAACGCGCATTCTTGTCACTCAAACGCCTCTTGTACAAACACAGTTGGCAACTACACTTGTTCATGTAATGATGGTTTTGTAGGGGATGGCAGATATTGTACAGGTTTGTATCTACCCTTACAAATATCATGGGTGCAATTTAAAAACAAAAATGAGTTATGAACGTCTTTTTAAAAAATTATGGAATTGTTTCGTATTGGCCATGTGTCCTTTGTTAATTTTTGTCTTTTTTCAAATACAAGTCAGTTATTCCTTTATTTCAAGTTGGGATTGTACCTTATTTTCTTGAAAAAAATCATGTTCTTTCTATACTTATTCTCCTAGCCAATTTATGCTGGTTTTAAATTGAGATGATATTAAAAACCTTATTGTGTATATTTTTGTTATAGAGTTCAGAGAATTTAGTTTCTTTAGTACAGTGGCAATTTTTAAGTGTATCTCATATTTGTTCTTAGATGTTGACGAATGCTCAACCAACGCGCATTCTTGTCACTCAAACGCGTCTTGTACAAACACAGTTGGCAACTACACTTGTTCATGTAATAGTGGTTTTGTAGGAGATGGCAGAAATTGTAACGGTTCGTTTCTATTAAAGAAAGTATCGTGTGAACTCTTTCAGAACAAAAAATTGTTATGAAGATCTGTTTAAAAAAATCCTGGGATCGCTTTGTTGTTCCAATGTGTCATTTGGTAATTTTCGTGTTGGTTTTAATGCTTGTAAAGTATTCCTTTATTCAATGTTGATTTTGTACCTTTTTTGTAGAAACATGTTTTGTTCTTTCCTTTATTGATTCTCCTGACGAATACATGTTTTTTTTAATTGACATGATGTTGAAAACTTCTTTTGTTAATTCCTGTTATAGAATTCGTAATTGTGATATCATTTTAAATGTATCTCATATTTGTTCTTAGATATTGACGAATGCTCAACCAATGCGCATTCTTGTCACTCAAACGCGTCTTGTACAAACACAGTTGGCAACTACACTTGTTCATGTAATGATGGTTTTGTAGGGGATGGCAGATATTGTACAGGTTTGTATCTACCCTTACAAATATCATGGGTGCAATTTAAAAACAAAAATGAGTTATGAACGTCTTTTTAAAAAATTATGGAATTGTTTCGTATTGGCCATGTGTCCTTTGTTAATTTTTGTCTTTTTTCAAATACAAGTCAGTTATTCCTTTATTTCAAGTTGGGATTGTACCTTATTTTCTTGAAAAAAATCATGTTCTTTCTATACTTATTCTCCTAGCCAATTTATGCTGGTTTTAAATTGAGATGATATTAAAAACCTTATTGTGTATATTTTTGTTATAGAGTTCAGAAGAAGTTAGTTTCTTAAGTACAGTGGCAATTTTTAAGTGTATCTCATATTTGTTCTTAGATGTTGACGAATGCTCAACCAACGCGCATTCTTGTCACTCAAACGCGTCTTGTACAAACACAGTTGGCAACTACACTTGTTCATGTAATAGTGGTTTTGTAGGAGATGGCAGTAATTGTAACGGTTCGTTTCTATCAAAGAAAGTATCGTGTGAACTCTTTCAGAACAAAAAATTGTTATGAAGATCTGTTTAAAAAAATCCTGGGATC